TTCTCCCTGTCTGTCCACTTGTACACACATACTTTGCTGCTTCAATATTAAGGTTAGTTGGACCCAAACCGCTTTGTGCTCCTGAGTCCTTTAGCCTCAGGTCAGCCCTGCAGAGACAAGATTGTCAGCTCTTTTGGGGGGGAAACCCTTCTGGTTTGCTGGAGTGGGCAGTTCAGGACACAGTTGTACCTGCAGGAGGCTTCATCATGTTTGAGTTCTGTTTCCCAAGTGCTTGTGGAGTTGAATACCCCCATGGTACCATTAAAAGCTCTGCATGTATTTGTTTTTAGTTCTTTTTCCTATGATGTTAATCAAAGAGTGATTGTGATGATGAGAACTAATTAGTGAGTTTCATTATTAACAGTTCCCATCTGAGACTTGCACATGATAATCCTGAGTGGTTAATTGTTAACTAATAGGTTTACTTATTCCCATTTCCCTGTGCTGTTTTCTGTGCTATAATGGCTGCCTCTCTCCAGTCCCAACGATGTTACGCCTTGTTGTTCAGTCACTCAGTCACGTCCGACGCTTTGTGACCCCATGGACTGTAGCCCCCCTGACTCCTCTGTCCATGGAATCCTCCAGGCAACAATACTGGAGTGGGTAGTCCTTCTCTAGGGGATCTTCCTACCCAGGGATCAAACTTCTGTCTCCCGCATTGGCAGATGGATTCTTTACCAGTGAGCCACCAGGGAAGCCCATGTTAAAGCCTACTCTGTGGCTATTTTCAGTGGAAAAATCATAGATTTCACTTTGCTGGCAACTAGTGTAAACTGACAACCAAAATCCGTGTTCCAGAATTTAGAGAGATTGATTTGTGTTTAGTTCTGTTCCTCGAGGAGACTGGGGACCTACCTGTGTGAGTAGTGTTCTTGTGGCTCTCTGCCCTGTGACTGCCACGTAAGGGTTCTCCTTTCCTTGTTCTCTTCCCCACCCTATCCCCCTCCACAACTTACCCACTCTCCCAAACTTGGTAATTCATTATACTCAATTATTTCAAACATGTGTTTGCTTACCCAGCAAAGTACTTTGTTAGAGGTAAGTTACAGTCTCACTGATGAAGGGGATCTTTTATAGGCATTGACACATGCACCCACGTTTATAAGAGGTTTAGACTGACCATCAGAAGTGAGGGCAGAGTAGGAGTGTGTGCTTAAGGTGTTTTTATAACCTTTCCCACTCCCTGAGGATGATCCTGCCTTTCTTCAGGTCCTTCAAAACCTCACTCCTATAAATTTGAGATATAGATATTAACATCCTTTGAAGTGAAGCCACCCCAGGCACATTTGTTGCATCATTACTTTCTCAATTTCAAGGTGCATTGAGGAAGCAGAAACATTCCTTAAAGAGATGCCATCCACAATAGCAGGTTAAATGTAGCTAATGCAACCTTAAATTAGCTTTTCTAGGAGGACAGAAAAATACTTAATATTTGGTTTGTTTTGGAGCACAGGTAATGTGAAAACTACCAGTGCAACAAAGAAGACTTACCTGGTCAGAATCACAGTTGCTTCTTGATTATTTACACTGGTGGAGGGGAATATTAGTACAGAAAACTATAGCTAATATAGCCACATGCATTCTCAAAGCCTTGAGACTGTGTAACTCAACTGTGATAGCTGCAGCGAATAGATTCCCAGACCTCATGAAAACCAGCCTGAGGATGGTTTACTCCACAGAAAGCTTGAGGATGAGTGTCTCTGTAACAGTATTTCTAAACAGAAATATTGATACTTAATAGTCTTACCTGTGCCTTAAATTTCCATGTTGTTATTTCTTTAAATTTGAGGCCATTAATCTTTATTTTTAAAAATATGTTTGGAGTTATAAGGAAATCTGTCATTTCACCAAGTCTCAGAAGGTCCTGCTTTGAATTATTGGAAGAGAATTTTGAATGTCATGTTAATGACATCCTTTCAACTTTATCATTTGGCTACCCTTGAGATCCACCTGCCATCTTCAACTCTTCATTAGGGCCTAAACTGGGCTCTTATTATACTGGTTCTTGTAATCATGTTTTCTCTTATTTACCTATTGCTGAAACCTTTAGAAATGAGTATTGGAACCTAGCACATTGCTGTACTTTGACAGAATCTTAGGAAGGCAATCGTTTAGCTGTAACATTTAGTCCATTTTCTAGTAAGATAAGCAAAAGTCCTAAAATTAAAAAAAAAAAAAATTCCATCACTAAATTCACAGAGAGTGACTTATAACTATATCACTTGAGGGAACCTGTCAGTCCATCTTTCCAGTCTTTTCATTTGAGCCACTGAAACAAACGCTAAAGGTTTTGAGAATTTTTGTATTGAAAAGGAACTAGCCAAGCAAAGGAAGAACTTGAGATGACGAGAAAAGACAGATACCATTGTCTGCCTGTGACATGAGTTTTGAAAAAGCTGATGACATCTTTTGGTGATTGCATTCAATTTAATTGGCTTTATAAGAATTTTTTATTTCAAAAACTCTTACCACCTTGGGCAAGATTTCCATCTTTTACTTTAATGGATGGTCCATGGGCATATCACCTGCTCAAGAGAATCAGGAGATTCACATTTTGTCTCACAGTTTTACCTCTGGAAAGAGACATGGCCAATTCTCGTGTGCTTTTAAAATTTGCTTTCATGGCTTCGGTTGTCACAGCTGGCTTTTACTTCTCATCGTCATAATCGGTGGCATGTCACATTCCCTTTGCTCTCTTCCCATGTATTTCTGGAATAGGATTAAATTGTAGGTTGAGATTTAGGAGGAGTGAGGAACATCCATTGTTTTATTTTTATCGGTCCATCTGTCTTTATCTGTCTTACATGGCTAACAATAGGGCCCCTTCATGTCTCTCTGATTCTCTGTCTGAGTAAGTATCCCTTGATAAACTAGGTAATCATTTAGCAAAATAGAAGTTTGCTGCCATTTACTTTTTTAGTATTAACATTAGAGGTGTACATGTGTGTATGTGTGGTTTTATTCCCATAAGCATCTTTCTCTCAGATAAATACATTTAAGAGACAGTGATGAGCAAACGTCTATTTTTGAAAAATATAGATTACTGTGGTCTCGAGGGAAAGGCCTTCTCTTTAGAGACCTTAAGTTGCCTCATGATTGGCGATAATCAGTTTCATAATTGTTGTTGACTTATTGGCTCAGCCCAGGAATAACATTGCAGATTTAGACTAGCATGCACAAGGGTTTTAATCAGGTGGTGCCTTCCTTCCTGTGGAGCATTTGTCTTGCTTGGCTGTTCTGGACCTCAGCCAAGCGCCAGAAAAGCATCTTCCCACTGTATATGGATAGAAGAGTGTGTGATTGTTTAAATGTTCATTGGGGGAGTTTCCAACCCACTAAAGCTCATTGTTACCTTACCTTTTACCAATGCGCCCTTAGAAAAACCCTGAGAATGGATGACTGTCTCTCCTTTTCTCCGAGAATCTGTTTAAAGGGAAGGATGACTCTCATTACTATAAATATTGCTTTCATCCCAGCCTACCTCACGGCTTCTGAATGAGAGGAGCCCCTTTGGCTGCTGTGAAGACTCTCAAATACTTGATGGCTTGTTAAATTTTCATTATCTAATGTGCATTAATTTAGGTACAATAGCTCTGTTGCTAGGAGCAGAGTTAGGAAGGAAGAGCTTGGCGAGTGCAGACGGCTTCTGTCGTCCGAGTTGGGCAAGTGTGCAAAGCTCGCTGTCCTCTGAGGGAGCTTGGGGCTCTGCTGGCCATGCTGCAAACCTCTGAAATTCATCCAGTGACTGTTCCCCCAGCACATGCCACGTGATACCCAATGCTTGCTTACTCTGTCATCTGTTTAATTAGCTGGAGAGACTGAAAGGATTTGATGGCTCTCAGCTCCTCCAAAGCTGAGAGCTCTGAGGTTCAGAAGGTCCATGAGTTGGTACTCTTGAGGGTAGATGCTTGCACTTGGGGTTGATGCATGGGAAAAGTTTTCTTTAAATCTCTATAAAGTTTCACATGCTTTTATCATTTCTGTAATTATTGGTGCTGACATGATGTGGTGTTTTCTGGTCCCCGTGGATCACATCCTGCTATTGCAGGTTTCCTGGGCTGGGAACAGGAGCTTCATGCCCCGATCTCTCCTCATCCCTGGAAAGACAGAGAGCAGGGCTTGAAGTATTGGGTCCTCCCCACTGACACCCCCCCCCCCCCCCCCCAGAAAGGCTACACTCTCCTCCTTGTTAGGAAAACACAGCCTGTTAAAGACTGACAATGAACTGTTTTGGGTTTCCTGGAAAAGGGATTTAGGGGCTGTGTCAGGAACCTGGATTTTATTTTATTTTTTTAATTGAAAATAAAAGATTAGATTAAGCTTTGAAGATGGTAGGTCTTTTCCTTTAATTTTCTATAGGAGGAAAAAGAGCGCTTTTTCCTGTCCTGGATGAGTGAAATTCTCATTTCAAGCCACCATCCTAATTTCTTAAAAATTATTTATTTATTTATTTATGGCTGCACTGGGTCTTTGTTGCTGTGAGAGGACTTTCTCTATTTGCAGTGAGCATGGGCTACTCTTCATGGCAATGTGCGGGCTTCTCATTGTGGTGGCTTCTCTAATTGCAGAGCACAGGCTCTAGGTACACGGGCTTCAGTAGTTGCGGCACTTAGGCTCAGTAGTTGTGGCTCTGGAGCTTAGTTACTCTGCAGCACGTGGAATCTCCTGGACCAGGGCTGGAACTCCTGTCCCCTACATTGTCAGGCAGATTCTTATCCACTGCGCCACCGGGGAAGTCTCTCATATCGCTGAATGCTTTAGTGATGGAACAGAGGAGAGAAGAGAGTCATTGAGAAAGCTCTAGAAGCTTTTGGTTAACTCTCTTTCTCCTGTGAATGTCACGTGGGTTTCTTGTTTTTGTCATAGTTTCAGAAATGTCTGATAAAAGGTTATTTGCCCAGCTTCCTGTGATCTGCCAGACTTTTTGCCCCAGACCAGAGAAAAAGAAACATTTACCTTGATTCCATTATTTTTCTGATGGTTCTTCTTTTCTCCCCCAGGACACCCAAAAAGCAAAGCAGTTTCTGCCCTTCCTTCAGCGGGCAGGTCGTTCTGAAGCTGTGGTGGAGTATGTGTTCAGTGGTTCTCGTCTCAAGCTGTATTTGCCAAAGGAAACTTGCCTTATCACCTTCTTGCTTGCGGGTAAGTCTCCTGTGTTATGTGGTGTTCTGGAAATTCTTCCTGGAGCTCAGGAGTTATCCCTGGAGGTCACATGCCCTCCTTCCCACTGGGTTTTCCACAGGACTTGGAGCCCATGTGGGTGCTTCAATCTCTGATGGAGACATGAACACAGAGCTCCTAGTCTGATCCTGCTGTTACTGCAGACCCAGCACTGGTTCCATCCTACTTCTCATTCCTGCCAACCGCAGGATATGGGCACGTAGGACAGCATATGAGACACATACATACACCCTGAGTGAAGGGAATTCCTGACCTAAGACAGTGTTCATCATGGAGTGAGTGTTCATGGCTAGCGTCTGCCATTTGGGCTAGACCACCCTGCTGTGTTTGTGAACCATTTTTTAAGTCTTTATTGAATTCGTTACATTATTAATTCCATTTTACATTCTGTTGTTTTGTTTGTTTGGCCAAGAGGCACAGTGTGGGATCTTAGCTCTCTGACCAGGGATTGAACCTGCAGCCTCTGCATTGGAAGGTAGTCTTGACCACTGGGACTGTCAGGAAAGTCCCAGGCCTTCCTCCTTTTCTTTGCTGACCAAATGTCCATCTTTCTTACCTTATCTTTTCTAATAATACTTCACAAGCCAGCAAGTCTATGTGTGAACCATGCTCTGTGAGCAGTATACATGTATGCATTCAAGGAGCAGATGGCTTCATTATTTCCCTGCTGGCAGGCAAGAAAATTATTTCCATCAGTACTTTGCAGAGGCTGTGGTCTTTGAGGGAGAGGGTCACCCCACACCTGTGCACACAAACTTTTGCTCAGTCCCAAAGGACATATCCCGTTGTGTTTACCTGCTGCACACTGCCTTCTCTGGGGCTGTCCTGTTGCCTCAGCCCTACTTCTCTTGAATTCCTGAGTAGAATTTGCCACAGGGGAAGAGAACCGAGGGCCCCCTTTGCCATTCTCTGCCACATTGCCTCATCCTCCCTTTTGTTGAAGGCATTGATAGTGTCTGCCCGAATAAGGGTCTCCTGCAGACCCCAGCTGAATGGATCGTTAGCTGTGATCAGTGACTCCCTGAGCACGTGGCCGTGAAGCTCACAGTTGCTGCTTGGCCCTCATGGCTCCTTGAGTCTCCTGCAACATTACCGATCACTGCCTGGCTCTACAGGCCTTCTGAAGGGGCCAGTGGATATATGATATACAGCTCAGGGCAGCTCTAGAGAAGGAAGGCTGTAACAAAGCCACACCTCTCTGGAGGCCTGTGCTTTCGTGTCTGCACATGTGTGCTGTAAGTGAACGGAGAGGCAGGACCGCAGTGTGTGCGAGTCCTTTCATGGAGCCGTTCGTGTCCTTTTTATTAAGGTTCTCATAGTGGAGGAGTTTCTTAGCAGTGAATTCTTGTTACAGGGTTTGAGGTATAATATTCAACTCATTCTTTGCTCACTGCCTGCAAAGCAAAAGCATCATTTTGGCAGCGTTGAGCTTGATCCCAGAGGTGTGAAAGAGAAACGGCATTATTTGTTCCCGGAAACTTGGCCACAGATCTATAGGGGAAAGAAAACATTGAGGTTCTGGCTTCCCAACATAAAACCACCTGAATGGAGCCTGCCCAGGGCTTTAGACCTGTCTTGGCTGGAGTATTCCTGCAGAACCTTTTGGTCGTACCTTGCTCAGGCACAGGCAGCCTGATCACTTGGCCTTGGTGTCCACTGGTTCTCCTGTGTATTTGGCATTCTTCTAAGCTTAGCAATTCAAAAGGCATTGCTTGAGTTACCTTACATAGTGAAAGATAGATTACAGAAGCTAATACCTGATAAAAATATAAGCTTTTACATTTTTCTCCTGCCATCCTCTATGCAGTTGTGTTATGCATCTTCTGATTTCTTTAGAATCCTGGCAGGGATACAGAACATTGAAGAGTCATGAGAGAGAGAGGAGGCAGGGAGGCCTCAGTTTGAACCATGGCTCTGCTGTTTATGAGCAGGGGACTTCAGCGAGGTTTGTTGTTGTTGTTTTTCTTAACTCTCGTCAAGCCTTGGTTTACACATTGGCTAACTGGAGAGCATTTCTTGCCTTTTAGGATTTTTTCGAGGGTTTAATGAGATGTGTAAACATTCAGAGCAGGCCTGCCATAAAGTAGATCATCAATAAATGTTTCCTTCCTGCCCTCTTCACAAAGACTTAGTGACTTCATAACCAGAGCTTTCCTTAACTCTGTGTGGAATGGCACAGTTGTGCACTGTGTGTATCTAGGAGATTCTGACTACCACATTAATTCAAATAAATCAAGAGAAGGAGCTGCCCCAGCTGCCTCCTGACTTAGCAGAGTGCTCACTGAAAGAAGAGCTTTCCTTTGAGTTTGGAGCAAGGAACTCTGCATCCTGGTAAGACACAGGCCTAGGTCTTGAGATGCTCTAGAGGAAAGATAGGCACATGAACAAACTGCGGTTTTGGGTGATAGGCAAGAAAATAGAATTACAAGACACAGAAGTAGCTAGCACAGAGGAGGGAGTGGTTGGTTGGGTGGAGGTCAGGGATTGTGTATCTGGCTGTGTTTGAAAGGAGATATGAGTTTGCAATGTTGTAAGGACAGGATGAGAGGGGAGGAGAAGGAATATTCTAGGTAGAGGTACCAGCAGGTACAAAGATAGAGGTACAGTATATTCTGATGTGTTCAGGGAACCATGAATCCTTTGGTACAGTGAAGAGTGGGGTGAGGCTGGAAATATAGAAGGAGGCTAGTCTTCCATGGAACATGGTATGGACCCTCAGAGTTGTTTAAGGTATTAGGAGCATGCCATGCTCACCCTTGGTGTTAAGACAGTTTATCTTGGTAGATATGTTAGAATACATGAGGCTGGAGGCTGGGAGAGTGGTTAAGAAGCAAGAGGGACAGAGGCCCAAAATCTGGTGATAGAGGAGAGGAAAGGTTAGAAAAGTTTTTTTTTTTTTTTTTTTTTTATTAGTTGGAGGCTAATTACTTCACAACATTTCAGTGGGTTTTGTCATACATTGACATGAATCAGCCATGGAGTTACATGTATTCCCCATCCCGATCCCCCCTCCCTAGAAAAGTTTTTAACAGGAAGACTTTCTGTTCCAGGGGTCAAGGATGGGGGCTGACATTGAATATAGGAGAGAAAGTAAACTGGCCCAGGGCTTGAGTTATTGGGCAGAGTTTGATGTCCACCAGCAAGGGCAATGCTAAGAATAGGTTCTTGGAACAGATAGTCGGTGGCCAGAGGATTAGATGGAGAATCCTGAGAGAGCAGTCTTCTGGAAGCCAAGTGTTGGGTTTCACCTTAAAAGATCGAGTAGGTAAAAACTGTGGAAAGATTTTATACTACTGATCGATTACTAAGTCACAGATTTTTCTTCCTTTAATCAGGGTTGATTCAGATTACAGACTATTGGAGAGTAAATGTGGGTAAGAAGAAAAAGAATTTAAAATAGATGGCTTCTCATAACAGTCTAACTGAATGGAAAAAGGAATGCAGAAAATTGAGTGCTAAAGGGTCAAGGGAACATTCTAAGGATGTCAGCAACTTGAGTACCTTTGTAAAAACTGTAATTGTTAGGATTGGAGCAGAACATGACATGAATACTTAGAAAAGCTATTCAGTATACCTGTTGTCTTCATAGTGCCAATTATAGAATGTAAAACTCAACGAAGTCTTCTTGACTAGTGAGGACATTAAAGAGATGAAGTGAGATGATACCAGGACCTTGAGAAGCACTGGTCTGAATTCTCAGGAGCAGGAACTCAGAGGGGATGCAAGTCAGTCATCAGTGGGCAGTGACCTAGTGGAAACAGATTGAATGAGAGGGATAACAGGGCTGGAGATCCTAGAGAGAAGGACCCCACGGTTGTCTGAGACCAACCCCAAAGCTGAATGTGAGTGTAAGCAGACGTGATACTCACACCTTCCAGCTGCTCACCTGGACAGTGGTCCACATGACACAGCTTGGTAACTCTCCGTGGCATGCGCCCTGTACCTGGTTAAAATGGAGTCTGCTGGAAATGACGTTATCGTTGTGATTCTCAAGGGGAAAGTCGAGAGACCTGTTCAGCAGTCCCATATATATGTGCTGGTCTCATCACTCCCAGCCTCTTGGAGAGCCCTCTGGACTTCGAGGTGGGGTGGACACTTTCCATTTTCATGTGGCCTTTTTTGGGCAGACGGCCCCACAGCTTGATAGGGAGTGGCATTTGGCCCGAGCCAGCTGGCCTCTGTCACGGTTCCTGCACCCCTGTATGTGGAATGATTGCCTGGTCAGATGGGATAGCAGGTGGGGCTAGGCAGAGTCAGCTGTAGCTAACAGGTCAGCGCCTCCTGAGAGTGTTTGCCCTTCAGTCCTCCCAGCACCTGGCTCAGGTTTGGCCGTGGAGCAGGTGACCTTACCCCCTCAGAACTGACAGTGCTCAAGGTCCCCCGCCTACTGTGGAGGCCGCCTCCTAGGAACACTTATTTCAGTCTTCCAGGCAATCACCGGCAGTCCTTGTCCTGAGTTAACAAGGCCAACATTCCCTGGGCATTATTAAAAGCATTCCTTCTCTTCATCTAGCAGCATTTAGTGAGCTCCATACACTATCTCAGGGCTTCCCTGATAGCTCAGTTGGTAAAGAATCTGCCTGCAATACAGGAGACCCCGGTTTGATTCCTGGGTGGGGAAGATCTGCGTGAGAAGGGATAGGCTACCCACTCCACTACTCTTGGGCTTCCCTTGTGGCCCAGCTGGTAAAGAATCTGCTTGCAATGCAGGAGTTCTGGGTTCAATCCCTGGGTTGGGCAGATCCCCTGAAGAAGGGAAAGGCTACCCCCTCCAGTATTCTGGCCTGGAGAATTCCATGGACTGTATAATCCATGGGGTCTCAAAGAATCAGACACAACTGAACGATTTTCACTTCACATCACTTCATACACCATCTTCTCTTAGAACAAAAGCAGTCTGGTGGTGGTGGGTTAGTCACTCAGTCGTGTCCAACTCTTGCAGCCCCATGAACTATAGCGCA